CGAGAGCGAGGAGCAGGCGCAGCGCCAGCGCGGGCTCGCACAGACCCCACCGCTCGCACCGCTCGTGCTCCGCGGCCAGGCTGCCCGACAAAGCGGCGGGCGCCGGTGCCGGTGTGGAAGAGTCGGAGAGCACTGGGGCAGCGGTCTGCTCGAGCGCCTCAGCTGCGCTGACGAGGCCTCGCTGCCGGAGCGCGTAGCTGTGCGCCGCCACACTGGCCGCAGCGCCACCTGGCGAAAGTGAATTTGCGGTGCCATGCTGCAAAAGCAGCGCCAGCGAGCGACCGGACGGAACCTCGCACCCGAGCGCGTCGCCGAGCGCCGCGTCGAGCTTTGCAAAGAGGCGGGAGGAGGACGGCGGCATACACCCGGTTATGCCTGACGAAAAGAATTGTTGAGCAACAAGCCTGTCTCACAGCACACTGGCGAAAAGAATTCTTGCCCTGCCTCTCTCACAGCACACTGGCACGACAAGGGCGCGGACTGGCGCGGACTGGCACACACACCGGCTCACCACCGGAGCCGCCTAAGCGACTCCGTTAAGAACAGCAATGCACTAAAGAAGAATGGCCCCGCAAGTGGGAATAGGACGGCGGCATCACCGTCGTATGCAGGTGTGGTACACTCACGACGGGGTAGGTAGGGTAGGCCTGGGCCCTCCAGTCGGGGTTTTCCCTCTCTTCAAGCTGGAATTTTCGGAGCAAAAAAAGAAAATTTCCGCCGAAATCACGATGTCAACCCTCCCCAAGTGGGTGATCTGATTGATGCTTGTATGGCCTTGAGAGTGGCCTGCCATGTCACAAGAAAGGACTGTGGTTGCAGGAGAGTACCACCAACCATCACTCTAGTTGGTATAGTACCCCACCTTCACCCGTAGTGATTTCTTTTTTAGTTTATAAGTAAGGTAGGTAGGTAGGTAGGTAGGTAGGTAGGTAGGTAGGGGCAGGGCAGGGGCCGGCCAGGTTTTTGCAGAATTTCATCATGAGTGCCGCCCAAGCAAGAAGTACACAAACCTGCGTTACTTATATAAAATACGTCCGTCCCAAATGCGCGTTTGCGGCTTGCCTGTGCTCTCGGCCGCCTCGCTGAGCGAGACCGAGCGCGGTGCTGGTGGCGCCGACACTGCCGATCCGTCGAGCACTGCGACGGCTGCTCAACCAATGAGAGTCGGCAGCGCTGCCTCTGCGGCTGGTGCGCCTGCACAAACCACGCCAAGCGACTGCAAACTGGGCGCAAACCTGTCTGGCAATGCTCTGGGCGAGGATGTCAATGTGGAAACCACTCGAGTCCTTCAGCTTGATCCTGCCTCGACGGCTCGCACCGCAAATGCGGGTCCTGCACTTCCTCGCGGTGCTGGCATCTCTGCGCTGCGCCATATTGACGCCAATAACTCTGCTTTCAACATGCTCAACGAGGCGGGCGCTGCTGCAGAGCTAACCTGTGCTGCTGCTGCTGCTGCTGTTGCAGCTGATGCTGCTCCTGCTACCCTCCCGCCCGCCCACCCTGCCCGCCCGCCCTGCCCGCCCGCTCGTAAGGGGTCTTCACCTTCACACTGGTCTGGCCACAGGTGGGCAACCTTCCCGTCGAAGGTCAAGCGGTCTCAACTTCGCGCTCTACTGCCCGCCCTCGCCCTCGCCTACCGCCTCCCGCCTCCGCCCGCCGACCCGCCGCCAGCTCGTCCGCCAACCCGTCGTCTCTGTCGTCTCTCGCCCGCCCGCCATCGCCCTCGCCTTTCACCTCCCGCCGCCTCCCGCCGACCGCCACGCCAGCTTGCCTGCCGCCCTGTCGTCTCGCCTGTCGCCTGCCCGCCCTCGCCGCCTCTCGCCGACCACCACGCCAGCTTGGCCGCCGCCCTGTCGTCTCGCCTATCGCCCGCCCGCCCTCGCCCTCGCCCCCTCCTCCCGCCACCACCCTCGCCTCACCCTCCCGCCGCCTCGCCGCTCGCTTGCTCGCTCGCGCGCCCGCGCCTGGCTTTCTACTTCCTCGTGATCGCCCGAATCTCTCCTTCCTCGTGATCCACCCTCGCCTCACCCTCCCGCCGCCTCGCTGCTCGCTCGCCGCTTGCTCGCCCGCCCGACTTTCTACTTCCTCGTGATCCGAACCGCCACCACCCTCGCCTCACCCTCCCGCCGCCTCGCCGCTCTCGCTCGCCGTTCGCTCGCCCGCTCCCGACTTTCTACTTCCTCGTGATCCATCTCGCTCACCCTCCCGCCGCCAAGCCGCTCGCTCGCCGTCCGCTCGCCCGCTCGCGCCAGACCTTCTACCTTCTCGTGATCCGCCCGCCGCCACCCTCGCCTCGCCCTCCCGCCGCCTAGCCGCTCGCTCGCCGTTCGCTCGCCCGCTCGCGTCAGACCTTCTACCTCTTCGTGATCCGCCCGCCGCCACCCTCGCCTCACCCTCCCGCCGCCTAGCCGCTCGCTCGCCGTTCGCTCGCCCGCCCGCGCCAGACCTTCTACCTCCTCGTGATCCGCCCGCCGCCACCCTCGCCTCACCCTCCCGCCGCCAAGCCGCTCGCTCGCCGTCCGTTCGCCCGCTCGCGCCAGACCTTCTACCTCCTCGTGATCCACCCGCCCCCACCCTCGCCTCACCCTCCCGCCGCCTAGCCGCTCGCTCGCCGCTCGCTCTCGCACGCTCGCGCCAGACCTTCTACCTCCTCGTGATCCGCCCGCCGCTACCCTCGCCTCGCCCTCCCGCCGCCTAGCCGCTCGCTCGCTCCTATCCGTGCCACCCTATCCGAGGTCCTGCCGCCACCGCGCCATCCTCGCTCCTTCCTGCCGCCGCCCTCTGCTCAGTCGTTTGACCCGCCGCCCAATGCTCCGCCGTTCGCTGCCGTGGTCTGCCGCCGTGCCGCCGCTCCTTACCGTGCCGCTCCTTCCGCGCCTCGCCGCCCTTGCCATTTATTCGCCGTCCCTCCTGCCGTGCGTTACCGCCGTGCCGCCGTACCGCCGCTCCTACAGTGCCGCGCCGCCTCCCACACGCACACACCTTACCTCCTGCTCGACCGAGTTTGCGATGAGAAGTGACCCGAGCCGCCGGGTGCCCCGCAGCGGCCTCGCTGGACCAGAAGAACCGGTCCGCGAGTGCTCCGCAGCAGCCTCGCTGAGCCAGAACGTCGGCTCGCGAGGTGGGGTGCTAGTATGAGCCCGATCCGTCGTAGAGTTCTTGCGCTTCGGCGGTTAGTGGTGCACTAACCTCCGAGAAACCCTTCGGGTCGCTCCTCATCGCAAACCCTGTCAGCAGAGTCTCCTACGGGAATGTACGTAAGAGCTACATACACTTAAAATGAACTCGGGGGCACGGGCGTTATGCCTCGTTATGCCGGCGAACACTAAACACAGAAAAAGTACGCGCGAGTGACCCGAGTGACTGACGGCAGACTCGGCGCTCTTGCAACCTGACCGCGCATGGCGCCGAAGACACCCATCGGCAAAAGCAGGAGAAATCCAACCAAAGGCAAACAGAACGTCGGCAAGGACGAGGGTGCTTACTCCCTGTATGTGCAGATTGAGGACGGGACGGAAGAGTGCTCGTTGCATGATTCCGCCGAGGCTGTGGTTGAGTGGGTCTGGAGGTGGGGTAACGCAAACGACCTGTGTCTCGTATCGAGCGAATGGGACGTGCAGCACCCACGCTATGGCTGGCAGAACGCGTACAACGTGATGATCACAACTGAGGACTTTGTCGGCGACGATGAGGAGCTCCGAGGCTTCTGGGCAGCTTACTTCAAGAAGTGCATGGCGCTCGAGGAGTTCGAGGCCGAAGGCGAAGGTGCGAAGATCTGCTGCTACCAAGACGCCACACGACAGCCGTTTTGGCGTGCCGCCGGTGCTTCCAGCTCCACAGCATGATGCCACGAAGGGCGCAATCTCAGGCTTCAAGCGGTGCGCCACGCCTCCCACCTCCGCACACACAGCGTTTGCACCCGCCGCCCTCTCTAACGACGCGGTTCCTCCCCCCCCCCTGTGCAGGCGTCGCCGCCCTCCAAGGCGCCCCGTACGGCAACTTGACCCTCCGTCCGCCAGACGGTGCCCTCTGCGCGTGCCCGCTCTAGCGTCGCGGGGCCAGGCCCGGCGGGAGGGCCCAACCGACGGCGAGAGAGTCTGGCGAGAGAGAAGGCGTTCCGTGGTGTAGATTAGTACGTGGCTACCTCTCCGCTTCACAGCTGGCGGTACGTGCGGCTTGTGCGGCCCTCTTGCCTGAGACGCTCCGCCGAGCCAGACGTTTGTTGAGATACACATCAAAGCCGTACTGGGCTGGGTTTTTAGGCATTGTGGGGTTGGCGCTCCCATCGACCCTCATGACCTCCTGCGGTCTCTGAGATGG